ACAGTCTGCTTTGGTCTTAACTATCTTGAGCAGTTTAGTATCATCTGCAAACTTTGCCACCTCACTGTTTACCCCTTTCTCCAGATCATTTATAAATAAGTTGAATAGGATTGGTCCGAGGACTGACCCTTGGGGAACACCACTAGTTACCCCTCTCCATTCTGAGAATTTACCATTAATTCCTACCCTTTGTTCCCGGTCTTTTAACCAGTTCTCAATCCATGAAAGGACCTTCCCTTTTATCCCACGACAACTCACTTTACTTAAGAGCCTTTGGTGACGGACCTTGTGAAAGGCTTTCTGGAAATCTAAGTACACTATGTCCACTGGATCCCCCTTGTCCATATGTTTGTTGACCCCTTCAAAGAACTCTAATGGATTAGTAAGACACGATTGCCCTTTACAGAAACCATGTTGACTATTGCTCAACAGTTTATGTTTTTCTGTGTCTGACAATTTTATTCTTAACTATTGTTTCGACTAATTTGCCCGGTACCGACGTTAGACTTACCGGTCTGTAATTGCCGGGATCACCTCTAGAGCCCTTTTTAAATATTGGTGTTACATTAGCTAACTTCCAGTCATTGGGTACAGAAGCCAATTTAAAGGACAGGTTACAAACCTTAGTTAATAATTCCGCAACTTCACATTTGAGTTCTTTCAGAACTCTTGGGTGAATGCCATCTGGTCCCGGTGACTTGTTAATGTTAAGTTTATCAATTAATTCCAAAACCTCCTCTAGTGACACTTCAATCTGTGACAGTTCCTCAGATTTGTCACCTACAAAAGCCGGCTCAGGTTTGGGAATCTCCCTAACATCCTCAGCCGTGAAGACTGAAGGAAAGAATCCATTTAGTTTCTCCGCAATGACTTTATCGTCTTTAAGCGCTCCTTTTGTATCTTGATCATCAAGGGGCCCCACTGGTTGTTTAGCAGGCTTCCTGCTTCTGATATACTTAAAAAACATTTTGTTATTACCTTTGGAGTTTTTGGCTAGCCGTTCTTCAAACTCCTCTTTGGCTTTTCTTATTACATTCTTGCACTTAATTTGGCAGCGTTTATGCTCCTTTCTATTTGCCTCACTAGGATTTGACTTCCACTTTTAAAGGAAGTCTTTTTATATCTCACTGCTTCTTTTACATGGTTGTTAAGCCACAGTGGCTCTTTTTTAGTTCTTTTACTGTGTTTCTTAATTTGGGGTATACATTGAAGTTAGGCCTCTATTATGGTGTCTTTAAAAAGCGCCCATGCAGCTTGCAGGGATTTCACTTTAGTCACTGTACTTTTTTAACTTCTGTTTAACTAACCCCCTCATTTTTGCATAGTTCCCCCCTTTAAAATTAAATGCCACAGTGTTGGGCTGTTGAGATGTTCTTCCCACCACAGGGATGTTGAATGCTATTGTATTATGGTCACTATTTCCAAGCGGTCCTGTTATAGTTACCTCTTGGACCAGCTCCTGCGCTCCACTCAGGACTAAATCTAGAGTTGCCTCTCCCCTTGTGGGTTTCCGTACCAGCTGCTCCATGAAGCAGTCATTTAAAGTATCGAGAAATTTTATCTCTGCATTTCGTCCTGAAGTGAAATGTTCCCAGTCAATATGGGGATAATTGAAATCCCCCACTATTATTGGGTTCTTAATTTTGATAGCCACTCTAATTTCCCTTAGCATTTCATCATCACTATCGCTGTCCTGGTCAGGTGGTCTATAATAGATCCCTAATGTTATATTCTTATTAGAGCATGACATTTCTATCCATAGAGATTCTATGGAACATGTGGATTCACTTAAGATTTTTACTTCATTTGATTCTACATTTTCTTTCATATATAGTGCCACTCCCCCCCTGCTCAACCTGTTCTGTCCTTCCGATATATTTTGTACCCCGGAATGATTGTGTCCCATTGATTGCTCTCAGTCCACCAGGTTTCTGTGATGCCTATTATATCAATATCCTCCTTTATCACGAGGCACTCTAGTTCACCCATCTTATTATTTAGACTTCTAGCATTTGTGTACAAGCACTTTAAAAACTTGTCACTGTTTATTTGTCTGCCCTTTTCTGATGTGTTAGATTCTTTTTTATGTGAATGTTTATCATCTGATCTGGCCCTTACATTATCCTCCTCCATCCTCTGCTCCTGACTATAACCTGGTGTTTCTCTATCATTAGACTCTCCCCTAAGAGAAGTCTCTGTCCGATCCACATGCTCCTCTGCAGCCGTCGGCTTTCCCCCAGCTCCTAGTTTAAAAACTGCTCTACAACCTTTTTAATGTTTAGTGCCAGCAGTCTGGTTCCACTTCGGTTTAGGTGGAGCTCATCTCTCCCGTATAGGCTCCCCCCATCCCAAAAGTTTCCCCAGTTCCTAATGAATGTAAACCCCTCCTCTCTACACCATCGTCTCATCCACTCATTGAGACTCTGAAGCTCTGCCTGCCTACCTGGCCCTGCGCGTGGAACTGGGAGCATTTCTGAGAATGCCACCATAGAGGTCCTGGATTTCAGTTTCTTCCCTAGCAGCCTAAATTTGGACTCCAGGACATCTCTCCTACCCTTCCCTATATCATTGGTACCTACATGTACCACGACCACCAGCTCCTCCCCAGCACTACACATAAGTCTGTCTAGATGCCTCGAGAGATCCGCAACCTTCGCACCAGGCAGGCAAGTCACCATGTGGTTCTCCCGGTCATCACAAACCCAGCTATCTACATTTCTAATGAATGTTCTCATTTTGATGGACAAGTGGATGAAAGACTGTAAGCAAAGGGAAATAATAAATGTCAGCATAATGAATTGGGGGAAGGTGTTTACTGGAGTATAGCAGGGATCAGTATAGGGTCCAGTCTTTTAACATCTTCATTAGTCAGAACATCTCCACTAGTCAGAATATCATATAAGCAGTATGCTAATTAAATTAGACAGATACAGTGGTGAGTGCAATATAAATACCTTGACAGAAACTCAGAGCAAATACTAAACTGAGAGGGATTGCAATTGCTAACAAGGACAGAAAATTAATACAAAGGGACCTCTGAATGATTAGAAACATAGTCCGTAACGAGGGTAAATTCAGCTTGGAAAAATGCAAGATACTACATCTGGTGAAAAATGATCCAGTATTTAATGGGAGGGAGAAACTCCTCAAGCAATAATTCTGAAAGAGACTGGAGTGTGTAGAAGGCTGCAAATTAGATCTCTTTTGCAATTTGCCAATATAAAAGGTTTTGACCTGCATACTTAGAGGAATCACATCACAGACTAGGGAGGTGATCATTCTTTTCTCTATAGCTCTGGTGTGTCTGCACTGGGATTTTTTTATTAGAAATCTGGAAAGATGATATTGAGAAAAACAAGCTATTGTAATGCACCTGCTGGCTCATTACTGGGCATTCTTACCACTCAATTCCCTATCCATCCAGGAGAGGGCTCCATGATCCCTCCAGCACAGGAAAGAAGTGCTACTTGAGGGGATGAGACTCAGAGAGAGGTAGACATGCTTAGTGAAAGGATGAGCAGCAGGTCTGAGACAGCAGCCTGGGAGCAGGCTATGAAGGGAAGCTGAATATCAGGCAGCCTGGGAGCCAGGGCTAGAGGGCCTAAGAGTAGGATACAGGCATACCCTGATGGTGCCAGAAGGCACCTGGACTTTGTTACCTTCACACCTCTTTTCTAGATTGCCAACTGGTTGGGTTGCTGAATGTTGGGCTTATCTTTTGCTGTTTGTTTGTTGAAACTGTTAAGCAAGTGTCCCTGGCACTATTTATTTCTGGCAGCCCTAGTGAAGGAATCCTGTTTTATGAGAAGTGTAGGTGGTTTTTTGGGGAATCCAACTGAAAGCTAGAACCTGAAGACCCCAGGGCTTGGAGTGCCTACAGCACTTGCTTTCCAGCTGATGGTACACCCATCACACTACCAGACAGCCAAGAGACTGATGTACCACAACACACATTGACACCCTGAAGTGGGGTTGGTGACAGTATTGTCAAACTGTGCAGAGTTCAAAGCAAAATGATCTGGGAAATGGAGGATATATAAGGGGATATATTTAATCTTTCTTCATAAATACTTTGGTTAAGTGATGATTGAGAAGGGGGTGCATAGCAATCTATAGATATTTAAATACTGTAAACACAAGATGAAGATAAATTATTTAGAGCAGCACAGGGTGTGTGTGAGGCATAATGGGAAGTAACTATAGGATGGGTAAATATAGGGTGAATATTGCCATATTGCCAACTTCCTGCCTTCAAAAATCATGAGATTGTAAAAAAAAATAATAATTTGGGGTTCTTTTTATTTGCTTTGTGGGGTTTGAGCCTTTCGGGGTTGTGTTTTTCAAGCTTTTCATTTTAACCCTGAGGGCTAGAAACTTAGTTCTTCTGTAAATGGAAGCTGAAAGTCTAAGATAATCAAACGATTCCAGGCGCTGTGGCTTCAAGAAAAATACTATTTATCATGAGATTCACGATCAAATCGCTAGAGCTGGCAACAAGGTAAAATCTGCTGCTAGCCAGATCTGTTAGGTTGTGGAACAGCTTCCTAGTAATTCAGTACATTTACATTAGACCCAATAATATACTAATACACGTGAACAGCTGATTTGGCAAAACTGGGTGACCAGATCCGCCTTTTCTCTCTCCTGTCGTGTCCATGCTGAATTGGAAGGGGCGGGGTGGGCGGTGCCCTGGTTCTTCCAGGCTGGGGCGGATAGTCTGAGCTCCGCCAGGCTTTCCCCCACCCTCCCTGCTTTATTTTCTGAAATGATCAGCTGTGTCCGTGGGTTGTGACAGGGTCAGGGGGAGTAATGCTGTCCTGCCCCTTGCTGTCACACGGGGAGGAGAGAGAGATACTGTGACACTGGCCCTGGGCTTGCATTTCTGGCTACCTTTCTAGGTGCTTCCCCACTCCGCCTTTCTCTTCTCCACTTCCCTCCTCCTGCCGTCTACCCCTCCCTTTCCCCCTCCCCCGGTCCCTCCCCCAGCCCCCGCTGGCGGTGCCCGCCCGGTGGTGGCTCGGGCGGCTCTTTCCAGCTGGAGCACTCTGGCTGCTGAGCCGCTGCTGCGGCTGCTCCGGAAAATGTCCGAGCGAGGCGGCTTCTACAAGCAGGAATTGAACAAGACGGTGTGGGAGGTTCCCCAGCGCTACCAGAACCTGACCCCGGTGGGCTCCGGAGCCTACGGCTCTGTGTGGTAGGTGCCAGCCGCGGGCGGAGGGCAGGAGGGGACCGGCCCCCAGGCAGAGGCACAGCTCCATGCTCCCCCTACCCGCCTCCCCGACCCGTCCGGCAAGAATTGCCCGGCTGCCAGCCTTCTGCCTGGGCGCAGACAATGCCCGGAAGCCGTTTGCATGGGGAGCTGCTAGGCCTGGGCTGGTATTGGCAAGCTCGCACTGGGGTGTGTTTGTGATACGCTCAGGATCGGGACGGGTGTGTAACAGGGGGTGGATCTCTCGGTGTGATCCGTGCGGGGTAGCCGCCGAGGCAAAGTAGCCATAGGCAGGGGCGCTGGAACGATTTTTATAGTGGGGGTGCTGAGAGCCATTGAATCAAACTCTAAACCTTATATGTGATGGAAACCACTTCAAGCCTTAGCCAGGGGGTGCAGCAGAACCCCCAGCACCCGTAGTTACAGCACCTATGGCCCATAGGATCTTTCTATGAATATATGCTGTAGATCCTAATACTCTAGGCTCTCTCTTACCCTACATATTATACACAGAGGATCTGTGTGTGTGATTTTTCTCTTCCCCGCCCCCCACTAGGGTTAGGAGGAGGGAGAGCTGGAGTTGAAACTCTCACAATAATGTTGAGCTCTGGAATTCCTCATGGGTTGCTAAGGGTAACCCAGGTCATTCCGGCTTCTGAAAAGAGGCTTCCCCCAGACTAGATTTAAGACCTTCCTCACTGCTGAGCAGCATGCATGAATTAAAGTTTGCTAGGATGACTCTTTTATTCACACTGCTATGGGGGGGGGGGAAATCTCGTGCATTCATTTTAGGGGGTGAAGGTGACTGGCACTGCCTTTCGAACAACTTACCATTGCTCTCTTTAAACAAAATTTTAGGTGGGTAAATCACCAGAGCGACTGTTCCCCCCCCCGCCCCCGCTCAGTAGCCTGCTCACTAGTTGATATAACACTGTTACATCACCTCAGACCTTCACCTAAAAATACTTCCAGGCTCATTTAAACCTGTTTCTAGGTGTAGGGAGACAATGAGGAGTTTGTTTACAGAGTCAATCCATCTATCAAGGAGGAAGCCTTCATTTTATGTGCACTTTGCAACACTACCAGGAATCTTGCAGAGTCATTGTCTCTGTGAATCAGAAATAAAACTGGCTAGAGTCAGGCAGAGAAGAGTAAGAGTATTAGTGCTGAGAGATTTTTGCATGGATAGCAAGGTTCTCCTTGTTAATGTTATGAGAAGCTTCATTGCATTCTGTCATGCCTGTTTTAGGGTTACGTGTGACCCATTGTCTTGCCTGCAACTCACTTGCTCCATATTTGTGTCTGAAATAATACCTCGTTTCTATGAGTTACGTGATTCCTGGCAAACAGGTTAATCAGAGTGCCAGCACAGGAATGGAGAACAAAGAAATAAGTAGAATGATATAGTGGTAAACATTATTTGAGGTGAGCTGTAGGATATATGGAGAAGCACATGGCATCAAATTCTGCTCTGACTTATACCCCATACAGCCTCATTTGGCCAAATTCAGTTCTTGGATACGCCGTGTAAATCAGTGAAGTTAGTAGAGTTACTCTGGATCAACACCAGTGTAAATGAGAACAGAATTTTGCCCACTGACTTCAGTCGAATTGTAAGTCAGGGCAGAATGAGACCCAAAGACTGTAGACTATTAATATTGTGCAGGGATCCATGATGTGTCCTTTCCATTAAACACTTCTGTTTTGAATAATTGCTCAGCTATCAGAATTCATTTACTTTGTGCTTCCAGTCCTGCAGGATCAAACCACTTTCCTATTTGATTCATATTTAAATATATTTGTAGAAACTTTGAATCATTTTCAGAATTGTTAACTCTTTAAAAAGTCACCATCAGTTTAAAAACCATACCTCTATCTGAATTATTTTACCTACTATTTACAATGAAACCCCTATCATGACTATAATCAAAGACACTAATGGGAAAAAAAAGTTCTCAATTTTGTTTCCAATTGATTTGTGTTGTGCATTTGACAAAACCTTCTGAATGGTCAGTTTCACTCTTTCCCTGTATTGTCAGTTTCCTAAGGATGTTTTTGTTTTGGGTCTTTCACACAACAGGGGAGAGAGAAACATTTTTAAAATAGGAAAATGTGATTTAACCCCCTGTCCCCCTCCCCCACAGTGATTTGCAGGGGATCTTACGGCAGGTGGTGTACCTGGAAGTTCTCTTAACTCATTTTCTAGAATTGACTAGATTTCAGGTTTTTCCTTTTTCTACAAAATCTGTGTGATCATTCATACATTTCCTTCCAACTAAGGGCACAATTCTGTGACTATCTCTGTTCCTAAGTTATTTAAACCATAGTTTAAACCATAGCTCTTAATTTGAGGATTCATGTTTTTTCTGTTAGTTTGAGAACTATGTTATGCTTGCAGTTGGAAAACAAGCCTCTTAGTTTTCTAATTGCACCTGATTGGTCTGTCCTTTTTCCTTAAGCTCAAATATTTCTAAGAAAAATCTGTAGTGTAATGCCAAAAACTTTTCAATCATAATAAAGGAAATCGAAACGTGGTGTTTCACATGCTGCACAGCTGGCTTGTTTTCAGCTGTGGTAGAATTTACAATTTCTTCTACTTCTCTCCTCCCCCGCCCCCGCTAAGGAAAGCATAGAAATTAGGAGAGAGAATGCAGGGAAGTGCATCTGAAATGAAAGTGGCGGTAAGGGCTTATTGCTAAAATATTCATTTTTGGACCAAAGTAGTAAGTTGTTACTTACATGAGTAGTCCAGTTGACCCGAGTGAGACTATAGATGTGAACAAAAGCCCATCATTGTGAGAAAAGGATTCATGGCCTGTAAAAAGAAAAGAAAAACATTGTACAATTATTTTAATATCCATTGATATTTTGAATGTTTTCCACAGTGGAATCAGTGATATGTTGATAACCAGCATATGTCTCACCCAGGAGAACGGGTCATCTCTTGACTAATGTATTCTGCCCCATATATGACTAATCCCAACCCTATGCAGCAAAGTACTTAAACCATGCTTAAGTCTTGTTGAAATCAACTGCATTTAAGCACATGCCTAAGTGCTTTGCTGAATCAAAGCCATAGTCTTGAAATCCAAACACTGGCTTTGAAATAGGATCAAAGTTTTTAATAGAAGCATATGTTTCTTAACAGTACTGGAACAAATCTTTATTCGTAGTAAGATGTTCCCCTCCTTTCTGATTCAGGGTAACTGTTTCCTGCAAATCTTCCCCTTTTAATGTAACTTGTTACTTGCATCTGAAGGACTTTTGGGTAAAAAAATGTTGTAATTGTTGCATTCAATATGTTGGGCTAAATCGTACTAGTGAAGATTCTATCACTCTCAGCCTTGGAGTGACTTTTTTTAAATTAATTTTTGTATGAATGCATCTACGTTTTTAAAGTAGAGTTAGAAACAAAGAGGGGAGAGATCAGGTGTTTTTGTGGTCCTATAGCTCAAAATGATTTTGGTATAAAACAAATGTTTTGCAGCCCCTTTCGCTAAGTATTTATTTAAATGCTGGCAAAGTGCTTTGATGTTGTACCAGATGCAAAATACAATCTCTGACCCACAGAGATTAGCCTCCTCACACTGAAGGTGCATCAGAGTGGGGCTCATTCCTGGAAACTTTACAAAGCATATAGCAGCCCTGCCTAGTACCCCATTGGAATTCAGAGCCCACAGGCACTGCACAAAGAACTTCTGTGGAGTCCTCACCTCAGGCACTGTGCCCCTACACTATATTTTCATCAATTAATTCTGCAGATGTAGGCTGCACAGTCTTCCTTAGCTGAGAACTTTGCATTTTAGCCTTCACCCATTGAAGTCAGTGGATGTTCTATCATCAACTTTGATAGGTGCAGGATCAGGTCCTTTAAGTTTAGCACAAAAACAAACAAATAAGATATGGTGTATGCAGGTCCCATAAACTTCAAAGGGTCATACCTTACTCAAATAAAAAACAAATTTCACTGTAATACTCCACGACATTTCTTCTCACTTAGGGCTATTTACATGATGCCAAATATCCACTTTCAAGGCCCAGACATTTATCATAGAGAGTTGGGTTTGTTTGCATTTCTAAAAAGTTGCACGGATTTTTATATAATGGAAAACTTGTTTTTGAATATATAAAAATAATAAAAAAAAAAAACCACTGAAATGTTTTACTTTTAAACTTACCCCCAAAATTTCTTTGTGCAGAGACTAAGCATAAACCTATCAGCCCAGAAAGTGAATATTTCAGGAAGCTGTAGGTGACAGATAACAAGAGATTAAAATAGAAACTATTATGCAACCTTTAACTATAATTACTCCTGACATAATAAAAATAAATTAGAGTAACTGTGACACCAATATCATGCATTTTAGCATCCTCAGTACAGATCCCTTTCTTGAAGAAATGCATACATATTAAACATCTAGGGTTAAATCCTAACTTTTCAGTGGCAAAACTTCCACTGACTTCAATGGGGCCAAGATTTCATCCCTACTCAGTGAGTTTTAAAACCATTTTCGATTTAAACTACACTTTTTCTATTAACTTTGTATCCTCCCCTCCCCAGTGTTCCAAAGGGCATTTTGTAAAATCTGCCTACTTGGATGGGAAAGAAGTATACTGAAGTGCATCTTGTTTCTATTCTAGGAAGAATAAAATAAAATTGGACTATGTCATGATTACAGGGCAAGCTTTGTTTTCAATCCTTTTTATCCCATTTGAGTGCACTTCTCAACTGACTGGCCTGGCTCCCCTCACCTTTCTCAAGGGTAGAACCCAATGGTCCAAACATTCTTGGGCTACATCTACACTGCATACCTCTTGTGGCAACATGTAGCTAGACACAACAGAAAAAAGCTGGCTGCATCTACACAGGCTGTATAGCTACACATGGCGGTGAAAGGTTCTCGCAAGGAGAAGCAGCAGGAAAAGGCTTGTTAGCAGGAGTTGCCAGAACCTTTCCTCACTGCCAGAGCTTTTCCCTGTGGCAG